CTATATGTAGCAGCTTTCGTATGACATCATTTAGTAAGTGTTTAACAAAGAGCAGTATAACAGTACTGTTAGTATAACTTATGCTTTTGCTGCAAGTTACTTGTCTTATAAAAGAGGCCAGAGCCTTAACTTTCACTTTAAAGTGTGAAAACAGTGTACAAAAATATCAAGTTGATTCAAAGTTGTTTAACATGTACAATCATTTGGTTCAAGAGAATAGAAATATTGGATAAAAACAAAATCTTAATGATGATGATGATGGTCATTGCAGTACTATTAATGTGCTGTGTTACTAAATTCTGATCTCACCCACTTCTAATCTCCTCCACATAAAGATCTCCGCTCCTGAGCTCCCCTCCCTGATTCTTTCTCACACATTTATTTTCTGTCTTCATAGAGGAAACAAATTGGCCAGGCGGGTCAAGAGGCTTCCATTCAGTATTTGATTCTTCTAGCAGCCTTATGCGTCTCCTGCATTCTTGTGATTCCCTTCCCTTATCTCATTCAGCCATTCCTTCCAACCCTCTATTCACTGACCAACTTCGGCAAGTGATAGGCGAGCTTCAAGATAGGTGAAGCTGATCTCAGTGCTTCTAGTTTTTCGTTCACTTTTTCTGGGTTGGGCCGCCAGGTTCTTCAGTGGTCTTCCAAAAATTATACATCACCTATTTCTCAACTGAGCAGATGCGCCACAGTCTTGCACACTTTATCAGCTTTGCTCTTGGAAGAAATCTTTCCTCTCATCTGAAGTAAAGGGTTCCTTTGATCTTTGATGTTCCTTTTGGGGTCTCATCAGCCTTGTTCTTTCAGTCAGGTTGCCAGATGACCCAGCAAAGTGAGTCATGCCAAATAAACTTTAAATATGTTATCCTAATAAACTTGATCACCTTGATTTGGTTTCATTGATTAGGATTTGACCAAACTACTAAACTGCATTGATCTGGGGTCTGCGGAGCATTCAGCAGATCTGTAGTATATAGCCGGCTAATGTCTTACTGTATATGGTCAATTATTTATCCTGTTTTGATAATGTTAACAAATGAATTCATGTGTTTTAACATGTGCACTGTTGCACCAGAGCACAATACAGGGATTAGAATCAACTGGTGGATCTTGAGAATATTAATGTGGACATAAAATTAGAACATACGTGAGCAAGCATGAGTTTCTGCATATGCAGTAGCTGATTGAATGTCAGCTGAAGAGTTAGAGGGCACAGTTGTGAACTCTTCATCCAGATGTTAAGTTACTGCATAGAAAGTCAATTGTGTGTTAATTTTTCATGTCTTTGAAAATCCAGTCGACAGACTGAACGTTAGTCACTGATGTTTTCATCAAGGTTCTGTCCTCCCTTCTCTGTATTGTTTGCAACATCACCCAGTTTTCTTCTGACCCGAGACTCTCCTATTCTATCGTTGTCAGTTTCACATGGCTTGCTGTGGTTACCTAGGTGATACAGCTAAGTGGGTTCTTCCTCTGAATTTCCATCTTGTGCTGTCAGACTGTTTTCAAGACTGTCAGTTTGTTAACAATGCATTAGGAATCCAAAGGTAATCACTTCATAATGAGGTATGAATAGCTACAGTACACTGCTGCAGGCAATATTTAGTTGTGCAAAGCATTTCCTCAACTCTATTAACAGGGGAATAAGTAGACAAGGTGATGTGTATTTCTGATTCTGCTACAGTACATGTACTGTATGCGATATGTGTGAAAACCACTACACTGATCTGACAGTAGCAGTGGTCAGGAGACAGAAGACTGGATCCACATGCAAGCTTGAATTAACTAAAAGACATGTTAAAGCAAAGCTAAAAGTTTAACTTAGAAACCAAAGCCGCATTCAGATAGGGATAGGTTAAGCCAAAAGGGACTGCTGGAAGTACCAGGGAGAATCCGAAGGAGAGTCCTAGTCAGGATATGGTCAAAACAGGTAGGGTTGATGCACGGAGAGAGAGTCGATTAAACACAAGGTCTCAAAAACTCTAGACACTGTAGAGTACATTCCAAGAATCCTTAAGCACAATTTTTTGGTAAAAAAAGATCACATTCAAAAGAGCAATGATGATTTGAAACCTACTAAAGGAGAACCTGGGAAACTGTTTTTGAAGCTAACACAGAAATGGGCATGAGCCAATGACAAGCCCTGATTGTCTCCTCCATTTGAGTCTCTTTCAAAGGCCAGACCTTGAAATGTCTAAGACCAGATGTGTTGCACATAATGTGGGTCTTATAGTCTGCCCAGTATGTGGTCAATAAAAGAATTAAGCTCTATTGCAACACTGTCCAAGTTACATGGGCAGCACATCACTACCAATATCTTGCCTTGGCAGTAAAGGGACACAAACTAACAATAAATATACAGAATCCACTTTCATGCTACGCAGTACTGATTGCAACAATAAATCAGATTCTGCTTACTGCTGTATGAACCCAGTGTAACATTGCAGCACATTGTCTGCTTGTCTTCATCCTAGCAATTGTTCTGCACAGTTCTGTGATAGGCAACATTCTTTTCAACCTGTATGTTCAGTTTTGACTCTGTGCATATCTGTGGCTTCTCTTTATGTTTTGGAATGGTGTACATTTAGCTATTACATTCCTTGCACACTTTCTACATTGAGTTCATAGAAACCTTTGCTTTCTGACTCACTATTTCATTCACTCATCTAAATTCAGAATAGAATCAAAGCAGTGTCGGGCAGACAGACTGGAACCATGCAACAAGTGACTGTAAATGTTATTGTCTAAAAGGGAGGCTTTTCACAAGAACTATAGTTATGATTTTCTGTTATGATCAATTATTATTATTTGCAATTAAAATGCATTCCGGAAACCATCTTTGCTGTTTTCTTTCACCTTCTCTTACCATTATCCCTATAGTCTTTCTGGTATGGTGGAGATAATGGCACCCTCTTGTATGATAGTAATAGATTTAATAGATTTGTAGATAGCATAGATTTAATAAAAACAAAAACAAAAAATCATCTTAATCATAATTCGCGTCTTTAATTTCATTTAGTAATCACTGCATGCATTCCAGTTCATTGTGGATAACATGATAATGAACTATCAAAATATAAGTGAAAAAACTGCATTTTTGTTTCAAAAGTTGCCAGTTATTTTTTCTACTTCCATTTAAACATATGACATTTGTCTTTTTCAATAGTCTATACTGAAGCAAATAATTAAGTTTTATTTTTAATGTTTTTTTTTGGCTGCTGGAAATTCTTCAATAAAGATTGAGATATAATGCTAATATAATATTCTTAAATAATGAAAATGTGAAGTTTTGAAAAATCACAGCAACTCCTTTTGCAATGTGAATTTAGTTAATCAGTATCATCCAAATACTGTACATTATTTCAAAATATGCATAATCATTGTGACCACAATAGATAAAGTGCCTGTAATCACTAGAAGGGCTCTTCTGTTGAGGATGTGCTTCTGATTTTTGAGCCTCAGTTTACAGTCCATTTAAATGATACCATATCCATTATGGTTTATACTCTGTATGAAGCTGGTGCCATCTGAGCAACATCTGGGACACATATTATATGTACAGGATATAGTATGTCAAGAATGTGAATAAAGTATTACTCCTACAGTATATTGTGCCTTTTCTTGCCTCATGTATGCCACCTAAGTGTTCTCTGCTAAAGCCGATCTTTTCTTTTTTTACAATTTTTAATTTCTTACTCGATTCTAAAAGGTCCAGTTAAAAAATCAAATTTTGTGCACCTCTCCAAATAAGGATATTTTTAACATCTATAATGGATGTTGCATTGTTTTTTATCATTATGACTCTATTTATACTGACCGAGTATAATATATTTATGTCATATTCCAGTATTCCCAAACACGTATCCAGCAAAGTCATTGGATCAATGAAGGAGTGCTACAGTTAATGTTGTCATGAGTCATTACATGGCCACTACAAAAAAACAGTTTATGCACCCCAGTCATGCAAGATTTTACTGAATGCATGAATTCTGTACAGTTCTCCATTTAATTTACTTCTTATCACCATTAACTAATACTTATATGATGATTTTACAACACTGTTATTTCATGAATGTACATCACCTGAATTTCCTTTCTTATTGTAATAGATTGACTTATTAGCTGGTGAAACAATAGTTTTGCTGCGGAATGTAAAGATTTACTGTTCTCACCAAGGGATTACAGTCTGTACACAAGGAATTCCATAATGTTTTCCTTTCAGATTTAAACAAGGGACGGTATAAATGGGAAACAATCAAGACGACTGATAAAAGCTCTTGCAAGTAAATGACATTCAACAGTGGTTGCTTATTTTAATATTTTCAGATAGGAGCAAAAAAAACACTCGTCCTAAATCTGACTTGGGACCCAAAATCCAGCCCTGAGCTTAAAAATTGTCTGATTATAGTGTGAATACTAACCCTAACCCTAGCTGGGGTGTCCACTGAGCATTTCCGCAATCTATTTCTGAAACTCTCTGGGCGTTGGATTTAGACATACCAGAAAGTATTAGTGGGAAACAAGACCATTGATCAAAGCACTTGCAAGTGAATGAGATTCAATAACGCTTGGTTACAACTTTAGATCCGACAGACTTACTTTTGGAACACAATTACCTTGAGGTGCACCACACCATCCAGGCCCGTGACAGTTCCTGAATAAAAAAAATTAAAATAGGAGCACAAAAACACTCATTCTCAATCTAACTTGGGCCTCAAAATCCATCCCTGAGCTTAAACATTTTCTAAGTTGTGTGTGAATGCTAACCCTAACCCTACCTGAGCATAACCCTAGCTGAGCATTTCAGCGATCTATATACTATAACCTTCCATACTGACCTGACCTGAAAGTATTCCAGATACAAGAACAAATGTACATGTCTTTTCAGGTTTTAAGAAACATGACTATGCAGATACTAGTGCTGCAACTTATGCTGAAATATGCCTCCCATCTTTTCTTGCAATCACAGTGGAATCTTTTATTTCCATTTTTTGTAGGGTTTTCCACTAAGCTTGAGTGAAGGACATATTTACACGTGGACTGATGGCTTGCGAAGAAAAGATTGGCATGATAATGAAAGCATCAAGAAGGATGAAATGCGTGTAGGTATGTAAAATAAATTCTGTAACAAAAGGATTTCCCTTTTCCACACTTACAGGTGGATGTTTTCTCAAGATGAAGACTGCAGCAGAGACGTAATAACCCTGTTTTGTAAATCTTAAAATTGTTAAGAAATGAATTGGACATAGCTTCAAAGATTTATTATAAAAAAACAAAAAGCTTTTATTTATAATATTTTAATCAAATCTGATTCCATTTTTAAAACCATCTTTATTTTTCTTCTTTATGGCATTTATGATAGAGTTATTAATTTCCTCATTGTCAAAAAAACATCTTCTTAATCAATTCCTATTTAGTACCTTTAGTAGAGTATTTTTACAGTTAATCTTTCTACAGAGATTTCAAACACATTACCAGCGCTTAGTGCTAAAGATTAGTGCACACAAAGGAAAAGCTAAATGACCTTATTACTGGCCACTTCCATGAAGAATTACTAAGTCATTACCAAATCACCATCATTTATTAGGATTTCATTTAAGGCAATCATTCACCAAGAAAGGTCAGCAAGAGACATGCAGTTAGTTTCCAGATATTTTAGAAAAATCCATGCTTGGCTTGAAAAGGTATCATGAAATCTACAGAACTAATTTTAAATCAGTTCGATTAATGTATGCTGCATGTTATGCTTCTGTATCCCATTTGCATTTTTTCAATTAATTGTCATATCATAAAAAGCAAAAAGAAAACAAATAAATAATCTACCAGCTGCTCAATCTTAAAATAAACCTAGTTATATCCATGTTACATTCATATTGCGTTACCTTAGTAACTATGCATGAAGGACATATTCCTTGGCTAATTATGCAAAGGCCGGTTGGATAAACCTTTTAAGCTGCATTGTTTTAGCTTTCAGAATTCACCTTGCAGCAGGTCTGCACCTACACAGACACATGTCTGGTGGAAATCTTGAAACATTGCCTGTGATCAGAGTGGATCCCCAAAAGATAAGGTGGGAAGAGGACTCTGACCCAGAAAAACAGTTTGTAACAAGAGTCCCAGTTGGAAAAAAAAAATTGCTTGTTTGAATGAAATGTCTTCCTGGTTTATTGAGAAAAGAAGATGTAATTATACTGAGTCTGAATAAGGCTATCTTTATGAAGTTTATAACCATATGCAAAAAGAATTTACAGCAGACCTGATCTTCTGAGATTATTTCATCATTTTCATGGCAGCATTTTCCCCAAGGGAACCTTTGTGTTTTAGAGCCTTCTGAAATTGTTGTATTTATATGATGTACAGTATTGTGTCGTTATTGTTTTTTTTTAATCAAAGTCAATTTAAGTACTGTGTTAGGACATTACACCAGAAAGTGCTTGATGTCAAAACATTTGTTTTTATTCTCCACGCAAGAACGGAATTTAAATCAAGGTTTTCCACCAGTTTTCAAAGTGTTTTACAAATGTTTTTCAAAACCATGGATTTTTACTCTAATTTACACATGACTATTTCAAAACCTTTTAACATCTGGATGTTAAGTAATACATTGATACATCTTTGAAAGTAAGAATGCTCGGCTGGCTTTGCTGAAAAGCGGTTGAATCAACCATGTGAACTTGGAATGTAAAACCATTTGAAGGTGACAATTCAATTTAATTAGGGACATAAGAAGTGAAATTTAAATTAGAGTAAAAATCCATGCTTTTATAAAATAAATACTTGGCTTTCAGTTTTGTGAGGTTCCAGCTACTTCTTTAATAAGGTGTTTGCAAATTCAGTTTCAGTTCGTGCAAATTCTAGAACTTGATACTTATGTCTAATATTTGAACCTTGTACATTTTAAAACTTGCATTTTCCTGCTGTCATGCAGCTCAGTCTTAACAAAAATATCAGTCTACATTTCAATGAAGAAAATAGGTATTGAAACAGTGTTGTTTTGCTCATTCATTTATTCTACTCATTTGATTTATAAGATTGCGGTACCATAACGCTGACATGCAAAGTATGGCTTTGCACTTTAAATATAATGTATTAATCCATTAAGATAAGGTGTTTTAAGGCCCTGAAGTAGGTCTTTGACAACACCTCCAGGCACATTTGCTAGGTCTACAGCACTGTACTCCTGTGGGATTGTTGAGATTAATTGTCATGGATACCTCTCTCTTTCCAAATATGGGCACACTGTAATAGCTGAGGTAGGTCTCCTAATTTACCAAAAAAATATCACAGGAGGCTGTCTATAGAAGGATGTGTAGAAAAAGACATTTGTATTTGTCCTTTCACTGCCACTAATCTTCTGTTAGGTCCTGTCTGTCACTTCACCTTATTTTATTAATTGTGTATTACTAACTGTGTCTTACTTTCTCCACATTCTGTGGTTTTCATTTTCTTGTCAGTTTTCTTACACCGTTCATTGCTCCAAGATAAAAAAAAAGTTTTTAAAAAGTTTTAAGCATTTATTTGGCTACACAATGTGTAGGTGCTGTCAGCCTCAGGTATTGCAAAAACTGCTCTTAAGAATATTTTACCCAGAGACAATGTTATCTCCCTCAGTAGCTTTGAAGTACAGTATTGAGGAAGATAACATTTGCAAGTGCTTACACTTAAAAGTTGTCACTTAGTAGAATAAGGCAGAATCTGTAATAACTTTGCAGTATCAATAATTAATTATGGTGAAGGAAAAAAGCACTGGTCATAGTATAAATAAAAAAAAATATATGCAATATGACCAATTATGACACATTTTCACAATGTCAATGTAATATGGTCACTGCTATTCTTGTTACTAGGGGTGTATTACTCCTAATTAAAAATAGAATTGCAAATTCACAATTCTCTGTATTAAAAAGATACTAGTGGCTAGTGGTGCTTAACACACGATAGAATGTGCCTTGAGTGGTTTACATTACCTACAGTACATGTTTTCTCTGTTGCATCTTGGTTGGTTCATGTGGAAAACTAGTTAATAGTTTAACTATTAACTGGCTGTTGTTATTTTTGCCAAATGTGTGTTCAGAGACACAATCAGATACCACAAGTCAAATCAGCTGACTTTTCTTATTTTAATAAAGCTGGTCAGATAAGTAGACTGTAAGATCAGATTCAAGGGGAGAGGTGTCAGCATTCGTTGGGAGCAAAGGACCAAGTAAAGGTGAATTTCACTGCGGAAAGTAAAGAAGACACTCTTTAACCTTCAGATCAATCTTCAGGCACATGTTGAATATAGTCTTTTTAATGTTTTATTTTGAAAAATAACACAAAAATCATAAATATAGAAGCTGATGTGAAATGGAGAATTTTTAGTTTCACAAGGTATCTTGTGCATCCATACCAAAACATCTACCCATCAATCTATCTTTCCATCCACCCTTTTTCTAATCTCTTCAGGATCAGTGCAGGATCACAGGGGAGCCGGCGCCTATCCTAGCAAGCAATTGGCTCAAGGCAGGATTCACATTGAAGTCAGATCATTTCTGAATCAAGAACCATATTCTGCTTGTTTCTATTGTGTTCAAATGCCAAGTATGGACTGTGTTCTGCATCATCTCGAGACTATAACAAGACAGCTGAAAAGGCTGCCATAAGAAAACTCTGCTGTGAAGTTAATCACTTTGTTGTGTTAGGTACAAAATAACAAAATAGTAGCTTAGCAAAAATGAACATGAATGAGAGGTATGTTGCATTAGTCTGCCATTGTAATTCTTTGCTTTTAATAAGCAGATTTAATTTTTTGGGGTTCAAACAATTCATTAATCAATTGTGCCTTTTAATACACCATTACAGTATCGGTATCAATGTAGAATAACCTGTGTCAGCTGATCTCTAATGTGCCCTTAAATGAGCACTTAACTGTCATTAGTTTGAAAGCATAGATAAATCTGTCAGTGGTCCATTATTGTGTATGTGTTCATCTTGTGTACAGTACAACTTCATCCATCCTTCATTATCCTGTATCACGTTTCTATGTTGTCTGTTGTAGATGTATGTTTTGACAGACACTTTTATTGCATTCTGATGCATGACAGGTGAGACACAAGATAGTCACTGCAGTTTTGTTTTGCACAAAGACATTCAGAGATGTTACAGGTTTAAGAAACATCTCTGAATGTTATGGATTGGACTGCTTGAATGCTGTCTTGATGACCTGTAAGTGAATCCATGTACATGTACCTGAATCTATCGATTGTTGTGTGTGTTTGTTTAACAGTATGCACTTCTCTTTTCTGTGGTAGATTAATTTATTTTTTCTGGCATACAGTAAAGAATTCTGAGAATTTCATTTTATATCTTCTACTGAAAGAATGACCAGATCCCTAACTACAGGACACTGATGAGGAGAAGTACTTTTCCTGCACACACCTAGGAAAACTTCATCATTTTCTTCAGAATGATAGTTACACCTTTTGAAATTAGAAAACGTGTGGAGTAACTTATAAGTAACATTAAAATAACTATTAAAGATAATAAATTGGTTCTAAAAATATTATTCTTGACCCAAGAATCTGGTCAATTTTAGTCAAGTAGCAAATAGCATGTTTTGCTCTGGCAACTCACCCTGAACCAAGTTTTGAAATTCTGTGCTCACAACATCTGACTCTATGAAATTGTATGTACAGACTATCTGACCTTTATGAAATTGACTTAGATTGCATGGATCTGATTCCTACATTTGAAGTAATGTTTTCTATTATTTACATCACTTTTAGGGAAAGCCTTAAATCTTCGACTTCTTTAAGAATAAAATGTCCATTCCTTCCAGGAATAGTTGAATGTCTCAGCTTCACATATATTTAATCGCAAAACAAATTATTTGCCAAATAGTTCATTTTAAATACCACAAGTCAAAGACACTTATAAAATACTTCTAAGATATTTACTCTATGTTGTGCAACAATAAAATATTTTTTGTATACAAGGATTTCACTACTTTTGCGTCACATAAAAACCTTGATACAGATGAGTTTTTAAATAGATTTTTAGCATTGTTTTGTGATGCAAACATCACAGTCCTTTACCACTTCTGCTCACCTGGGCAGTATCGGCTCCTA